CATAGATCAAAAGGAAGCATATCATCAAACTTTGCCAGCATGCATAGCTGGGTTTTATGGGCTTTATAGTATCTGAAATCCTTTTTAGAATACTGTAGTAGTCCTTTTATCACTAAACTTTGTATTACTGGTTCTCAGTACATGAGGAATCAAATTTATGATGTTACTGGTGACATGAGACTATCAAGGCAAAAATATTGTTTGCACTGAGAGCGTATGTTCAGGTACTCTGAATAAGATCCAGTATTCCTGAGGATCCTGTATGAACCAAAAAATACACTCAGTCTCATCTGCAGTTTTGTGAGTGGATAAGCAGGGAAAGAGAGCTTGTCAGGTAGATTGAGCCATTTTTTTGGACATGTCATCAAGAATGACTTAGGTCATCAGTGGCACTACGTAACAAATAGTTTTAGATAAAACAAACTCAAAAGATTTTTGATAAAGGTGTCAGGGAAGGGCTACAAGTTTCAGTTATATACTTCCAAGATATTTGGCAAGCTAGAAATCCTTCTATATTTCTGATTAAATCTAATATAAACCATTCTAACCTCCACTGTGGCATGAGTAAACAAGTCATATTCAAATGATCCATTTAATGACAAGTTTAGATAAATTATCCTCTTCACAAACAAAAGTAGTAGAGGAGATGTAGAATGCTGTAAGAAAGCTTGCCAAATTACCAAGGATAACTTTTTGGTATGAAAGAATCGTGATAGCAGTTTATTTAGTCATGGTTTCCATGTTTCTTCCTTAGGTTTGTCTTTGGAACCAAATCTAAAACCTTAAACAGTAGTCTTCCTGGACATTATACAGGCAGATATTGCCCACTTGTTAAGAATCTGGGGCTGTGGATTAACTGAATGATTTCTAACTTTACCGGAGCTGCAACATTGGCAGGATAAACTATTTACAATTAGCTGTCTAGAGACATCAGACAATGATCAAGGCAACAAGGACCTGGGAGTCCAGTCCCAGGACGAGTCACACAATGGAGTACGTCCTACATATAGCTCAGTTTTTCCCTCCATAGAAATTGCCAAATACTCAGATATGAGAATAGAGAAAAAAATGCAGCACGGATCTTGCTTCAGTATCAGTACTGGCAAGACAGAAATCAGAGTGCAGGCTCAAGGTCCCACAAACACGGGAAGCACAAAAGGGAGCCCGATTTTCTCTTGTGATTTTTCTCTTGTAACACTTAGTAATTATAAACTATATATTCACAGAGCTAGCCAATGGCTGAGAAATAAGTAGAAAGTAACCTGGGAGATAAAAAAGCTAGACACTGATTTCAGGATTTTCAGAACAAGGGAAAGAAACTGAATTTGAGGCCATGTTAAGGAGAACGGGCTCTGAGATATCCCATGTGCAAGGGCAAAGGGAAATGGTCTCATCTATGTGAAGCCTTAAACTCAGCCTGAGACATTCCAAGGAAGTTCACTGCCTATATCCTAAGTGTCTAACAGAAGACAACTAATATTTTCTGGAGGGAGATAATGTCATCAAGAGCCTCTGCAATTTTCATGCACAATGTCTAGCAATCAATAAAGGACTACCAGTTATTCTAGCAGATGGTGTCAAATAATGGTAAATAAAACTAAACAGATAGACAAACTATATTCAGATCCACAGATTACTCCGATAGTGGAATTACCAGACTCCAGCTTTAAGATAACTATGACTAATATGTAAAAAATGCATAAAAGATGAAGAGTTAGTTTACAGAATTAGAATACATACTGAGTCCAGTGGAAAGTTTAGAACAAAGAAATCATACTAGTAATTCAAATAAAGAAATTACTAATTGGGATTATAAGCAGAAAAATTATTGACTAGGAAGTTGTAAAAATTTACAGAGAATGGATGAAAAATATAGAAAAGGGTCTTTAGAACTACATGAGATCTAGGCTAGGGATTTAGCTCAGTAGTTAGGTGCCCGCCTCGCAAGTGCAAGGACCCAAATTTGATCCCAGGTACCCCCCCAAAAAAAAAGAAAGAAAGAAAAAAGAAAAAAAAAGAAATATATGAGACTTCATAAAAATTCATAATGTACATTGAAATTCTAGGGGAAGAGAAACTGAGGCAGAGGCAATATTTAAATAATAGCCAAGCATCTTGCGCACTAACAAAAGATTTCAAATCTCAGATTGAAGGTATTATACGAACTCTGACCGGGATAAACTGACAGGAAATTACATCACTATCCATGACAGCAAATACACTGAATGAAAGACAAAGATCTCAAAAGTTTCCAGAGCAAAAAGTTATGCTACTTTAGAAAGTACAATACAAAAGCTGTGTGAATCATAAGACAACAGAATGAAATCTTTTTTTTAATGCTTAAGAAAATATTTTCTATCTTAGAATTCTATATTTGGAAAACTGTTCCAAAAAGAGAAAAGTTAAAAGATATTTTCACAGGCTAATAAAAATTAAGAAAATTTCTACCAATGCTGGAAGAAATACTGCAGAAAGTGATAAAGGCAACAGGAAAAATAACCGCAGACAGAAGAAGAGAAATCAGAGAGATTAATGACAGTAGAAATGATGTAAATACTGAAAGTACAATAATAATGTCATTTTTTACTTTAAAATATAAGTTCAAAATATGACAATAATCTCACAAAAGTACAAGAAAATAAAGAATTTAAGGAAACTTCTTTGTTTTTACCCAGAAAAATTTCCTAACTTTATTACTTATGAGACAATAATACATAAAAAATAAATTTTATTTTATCTGTTAAAAACTAATTGAATTATCTTTAACTAGAAAAGCAAGGAACAAAATAATTTAGAAAAAGCAGCAAAGAACCAGAAAACATGGCAAAATAACATGAGTTGCAACAAAATAAGATATTGTCACAAACCTAACTATAATACTAAATATATTAAATGTAAATGGACTAAACACATCAATTCAGAGACAAAAATTTTCAGATTGAAAACAAACCCTGGGTATATGATATTCATGAGACACATCTAAAATAGAAGAACACAGATGGAAGTAAAAGGATAGAAAATATATACAATACAAATATTAATCCAAAGAAAGGCAGTGTAGCTTTCTAAAAGATAAAATTATTAGAGGTAATAAATTAAATGGAACTATTTTTATTACAAAATTAAATTAAAAAAGGTAATCACAATAAATTTGGATTAGCCTATAACAAGCAATAAACAAAACATAAAGTAATATTTGATAAAAAATAAAGTAGACAAATCTATCATAGTTTGTTATTTTGAATAGTTTTTCAGAAAGTGATAGAATAAATAGTAAAGAGAAAGATACTGGAAAAGCATGATTTGGAAACTTGACTAAATGACAAACTTAGACCAGTATAGTCACACAGAGCAGAAGACATTCTTTTCTACTGCTATAGAAAATTTAACAATGGAGTTCTGGATCAAAAAGTAAATTTTGTAGGACTGAAATCACAAATCTTTATTCTCTCATCTAACAAGAAATAATCTAGAAACTGATAATACAAAGAATATTAAAAGTGAAGAAATCTCCATATATTCAGAAATTAAGCAATATATTCTAATTACCTAATGGCTCGAGGAGCAAATTATAATGGAGAGAAAATATTGTAAATAAAATCACCATAACTGCATGGAAACCAATGCTTGCATACACAAGAAGGCATATAAAGGAGAAGATTTCTGACTTTGTATATTAGAAAAGAAGAAATTTGATCATATTTTCATTCTCAAAAGCCAGAAAATGATA